AATTATTTGTTTTCATCCCCTTCATTTTGTTTATGTGGTGAATCATATTTATTGATTTGTAAATGTTGACCATTCTTGCATTCCCAGAATAAATTCCACTTGATTATGATGTATGACCTTTTTGGTGCATTGCTATATTCAGTCTGCTAATATTTTGTGGAGGATTCTAGCATCAATGTTCATCAGTGATATTGGCCTATAATTTTCTTTCTTTGTAATGTCTTCATCTGGTTTTAGAATTAGGATAATGCTGGCCTTGTAAAATGAGTTTGGAAATCTTCCCTCCTCTTGAATTTTATGAAATAGTTTGAGAAGCAGAGGTGTTAATTCTTCTCAGAATGTTTGATGAAATTCACCTGTGAAGCCATGCCATCCAGGGCTTTTGTTTTGGGGGAGTTTTTTTATTACTGCTTCCATTTCATTAGGTGTAGTCTGTCTATTCAGATTCTCTGATTCTTTCTGATTCATTTTTGGGAGATTGTATATTTCTAGGAATTTATCCATTTTGTCCAGGTTGTCTAGTTTGTTAGCATTTGTTCATAATATTTTCTTACAATCCTTTGTATTTCTTTGGTGTCAGTTATTTATCTTCTTTCATTTCTGATTTCATTTATTTGGGTCCTTTCTTCTTTGTTTTTTCTTGATGAGTCTGGTTAAAGGTTTGCCAATCTTGTTTATCGTTTCAAAGAACCAGCTCTTGGATTCATTGATCTTTTGTATCATTTTTAAGAATCTGTTCCATTTATTTCTACTCTGATCTTAATTACTGCCTTCCTTCTGCTCACTTTAGGCTTTATTTGTTGTTTTTTTCCAAGTTCTTTTATGTGTGAAGTTAGATAGTTTATTTGAGCTTTTTCTTTTCTTTTTTGAGATAGGCCTGTAATGCTATGAATTTCCCTCTTAGGATTGCTTTCCCAGTGTCCCACAGATTTTATATTGTTGTGTGCTCATTTTCATTTGTTTCAAGGTATATTTTGATTTCTTCCTTGATCTGCTTGTTGACCCATTCATTGTTTAATAACATGTTATTTAGCTTCCCCGTCTTTGTATGTTTTTCATTGTTCTTCTTGTGACTTATTTCTAGTTTCATGGCATTGTGGTTGGAGAAGATACTTGATATGATTTCAATCTTCTTAAATTTATTGAGACTTGTTTTGTGTCCTAGCACCCATGGGAGATCTTTGCTAGAAAACATTCCATGTATACTTGAAAAGTATATATATTCTGCTGCTTTGGGGTGAAATGCTCTGAAGATATCAATTAAATCCATTTGATCTAGTGGGTTGTTTAAGGTTGCTGTCCCCTTGCTGATTTTCTGCCTGGAAGATCTATCCATTGAAGTCAATGGGGTGTAAAATCCCCAACTATGACTGTATTTCTGTTTATCTCTCCTTTTATGTCCATCATGATTTGCTTTACATATCTAGATGCTCCTATGCTGGGTGCATAAATGTTTACTAGGGTTATATCCTCTTTTCGGATTGTTCCCTTTATCATTACGTAGAGTCCTTCTTTTCTCTTACTTTGTTTTAAAATCTATTTTGTCAGATATAAGTATTGCTACCCCAGCTTTTTCAAATTTTCCATTTGCATGAAATATCTTTTTCCAACCTTTTACTTTTAGTCTGTACATATCTTGTGATCTGAGATAGGCCTCCAAGATAGGTCTCTTGGAGGCAGCATATATATGGATTTTCTATCCATCTACCCTCTGTCTTTTGGTTGGAGCATTTAATCCATTTACAGTTAAGGTAATTATTGATAGATACATATGTAGTGCAATTTTATTGTTAGACTGTTTTCCTCCGATCTTTTTCTTTCTCTTTTTCTTAAAGCAAGCCCTTTAACATTTGTTGCAGTACTGCTTTGGTGTTAACAGACTCCTTTAGTTTTATTTTGTCTGAGAAGCTCCTTATTTCTCCTTCTATTTTAAATGCCAGCCTTGCTGGGTAAAGTAGTCTTAGTTGGAGGTCTTGCTTTTCATCACCTTGAATATTTCACACCACTCCCTTCTGGCCTAAAATGTTTCTGTTGAGTAATCAGGTGAGAGTCTAATTAGAGTCCAAAAAATTGGTGTTCCCTTATAGGAAGCTACTTGCTTTTCTCTTGCAGGTTTTAGGGTTCTCTCCTTATCTTTAAGCCTTGTCATTTTAATTATGATATGTCCCTGTGTAGTCCTCTTTGATTCCAACTTGTTTAGGACTTTCTGAGCTACCTGGACTTGTGCAACCTTTTCCTTCACCAGATTAGAGAAGTTTTTGATAATTATTTCTTCAAATAGGTTCTCAATTCCGTGTTCATTCTCTTCTCCTTCTGGTATTCCCATGAGAGATTATGTTACACTTCTTGTTGTCCAAGACGTTTCTTAAGCTCTCCTCATTCTTTTAAACTGTCTTTTCTTTTTGCTGCTCTGCCTGATTGTATTTTTCTACCTTGTCTTCCAAAGCACTGATTCAATCCTCTGCTTCATCTAACCCACTGTTTATTCCTTCCAGTGTATTATTTATCTCAGATATTGCATTCTCTATTTCTGACTGATCCTTTTTTATGGTTTTCATGTTTTTTTTTTCATGTTGTTAAATATCCTTATAATCATTACTCCAAACTCTCTTGTAAATTGCTTACCTCCATTTCATCTAGCTATTCTGGAAAATTCTCTTTTTCTTTCATTTGAGGTCTGTTTCCTTGTCTCCCCATTTTGGCTGTTGCTTTGTATTTTTCCCCTCAAGATGTTAAACAAATCAGGCACTAAACTGATTGGTTGTTAATCTAATCAATCTGTAATCAGCAGTCCAGCTTAAGCACCACAGAGTAACTCCTGCTGGTGGGGCTGTTTCATCCCCTCAGGCTGACACCATTCAGAGAGGAGTGCTGATCCTGAGAGAGATGGCTCCTGCAGTATGGAGGATGACTCAGCACTGGGATAGTGGTGACTGTGCCCTCAGTTCTCTCCCCAGAGCCACCAACCCCAGACTCTCCTAAAGTGTCTCTAGTCCACTCTGCCCTCCCTCTACTGGCACCCAGGGTAAGTGGCTGCAAACAAAATTGTGCTTTGGACCTTTAAGAGGCTCTCTGCAACTCCAGCCATCTCTCCTTGCCAACAGAAACCATGCTGCTTTTCACAGCTGAATGTTATCTGAGTTCCTTTCCAGCTCTAGTGATGTGGGCTGGGGAGCACAGTTTGGGGTTTAGACCTCATGCTTCTCAGAGGGGAGCCCCCCAGTTGCTGAAATATCACTGGCACTTCAGCTGCCACCCACGGGAGGTCAGCCAGTCCTTTAATATCTCCTCTGTGCATCATACCAGTCATGTTGTGGTGAAGTGTTTTCTTTTTCTATCTGTGATTACAAGGCTTCTTTCCAGCTAGTGTCAAGTTGGTTATCTAAGATGACTTCTCTAGAGAGTTCCAAAGAAGTTGGACCTCAGGAGAAACACACCAAGGCACATCATAATTACATTACCCAAGATTAAAGATAAGGAGAGAATTTTAAAAGCAGCAAGAGAAAAAAAAGACAGTTACCTACAAAGGAGTGACCATAACACAATCAGCTGATTTCTCAAAAGAGACCTTACAGGCAAGAAGGGGCTGGAAAGAAGTATTCCAAGTCATGAAAGGCAAGGACCTACATCCAAGATTGCTCTATCCAGCAAAGCTTTCATTTAGAATGGAAGGGCAGATAAAGTGCTTCTCAGATAAAGTCAAGTTAAAGGAGTTCATTATCACCAAGCAAACCCTTATTATATGAAATGGTAGAGGGATTTATCTAAGAAAAAAAAGATAAAAAATATGAACAGTAAAATGACAACAAACTCAGTTATTCATAACTGAACCTGAAACAAAAACAAACTAAGCAAAGGACTAGAACAGGAACAGAAACACAGAATGGAGATCACATGGAGGGTTACCAGTGGGGGAGGTAGAGGGGGAGAGAGGGGGAAAAGGTAGAGAGAATAAGTAGCATAGATTGTAGGTTGAAAATAGATAGGGTGAGGGTAAGAATAGTATGGGAAATATAAAAGCCAAAGGATTTATATGTATGACCCATGGACATGAAATAAAGAGGGGGAATGCAGGTGAGAGGGGGGTACACAGGGCAGAGGGGAATAAAGAGAGGGAAATGGGACAACTGTAATAGCATAATCAATAAAATATATTTTTAAAGGTTTTAATTTATTTATTTATTTTTAGAAAGAGGGGAAGGGAGGGAGAAAGTGAGGGAGAGGAACATCAATGTGTGGTTGCCTCTCATGTGGTCCCCACTGGGGACCTACCCTGCAACCCAGGCATGTGTCCTGACTGGGAATTGAACTGATGATCCTTTGGTTCACAGTCCATGCTCAGTCCACTGAGCTATACCAGCCAGGGCTCAATAAGATATATTTTCTAAAAAGGAAGTAAAAGCTTTCCAAGAAAAAAAAAGATGATTTCTCTAGAATTTAGCAGTATTTCCAGATTGGCCCTGAGAGGAGGTTAGCGAAGCTTCCACTTATTCCTCCGTCATCTTGGATCTCCATTCTAATTTTATGACAGGACTAATACCTTTTATCCTGGCCCAAAAAGAGAAAGGTAACAAGCTTAGGCAATTTGTGATGCTTCAAGAAAAAACAACCAGAGCTGAACTTGAACTTAGTAAGGTTACTTGTTAGAATAATCACTTGGATGTCTTTTGTGAGTAAAATTTCCTGGGTGGTTACCACATGTCAAAGACTGTACTATATTCTGGGAATGATATGAGAATGTGACCCAATTAAGTAATGTCAGCTAGAGTCACACCTTCGAAATACTCTCTCCTTCTTGAAACAGAATGCGTGGTCTGAACAACTCTCTTTCCCCTGCCAGCTTTTACTTACACACACTCCTGCAAAGGTATACAAACACACTCAGGTGCACAAACATCTGAGCACATATCTGCCCCACCTACACATACATACACACTCATGCTCCATTCACCCCAGCATGCACTGACATATATACACATGTGTTTCCTATCTTTTCTCAGTCTATGGACATACCTGCAAACCTCAGACCTAAGATGGACCTTATCTGGTACAGCTGGGATATTGAACATCTTAAGCTCATTTCTGGAACACTGGATGTCAGGAACATGCATATTTATTCATCTCTTGTCAAAGTTTGAACCACTGCTCATTCTAAAGGTAAGAGAGATCCAGTTTTCACTAGATGGTCAGAGTCAGTCCAAGGTTTGCACATTCTAATTTATTGCAGTTTTTTTGAACTCATCTAATTTTGACTAACCCTTGCCCTATGGATAGTGTTCAGTAAGCAAGATGAAATAATACTGGGCTTTATAGAGCTCATGTCTCATGGTCCATACACAGATAAAAAGAATATATTCAGGAAACAAGCATCATGGGTCATTGGTTCACTCAACACGTATTTTATGGACTCTGGCTTTGGTGCCAGGTATCAGATAAATGGTGGTGAACCAAGTATAGGGAAGGATGGACTATTGGAAGTGATGTCGTGTGTGTGTGTGTGTGTGTGTGTGTGTGTGTGTTTACTTGAAGTATAACACAGACTTAAGGTTAAGTACATAGAGTACAATCATTTTAAGTGCACAGCTTACAAATAATTTATCTATGTCAGATAGTTTATTAGCCAATTTGGGCTGCTATGAGAAAATACCGTAAGTTGGGAGGCTTAAACAGCAGACATTTATTTTTCACAGGTCTGGAGGCTGGGAGACTATGATCAGGGTGCCATTTCTCTTTCTGGTTTACAGACCTTGCCTTCCTGCTTTGTCCTCATACGGTGGAGAGAGTGAGCTCTGGTGTCTCTTCCCTTCCTGTTCTTATAAAGCACTAATCCTGTCATAAAGTCCCCACCCTTATGACCTCATCTAAACCAAATTACCTCCCCAAGTTTCCACCTCCAAATACCATCATGTGGGGATTAGGGCTTCCACATATAAATTGGGGGGACACGGTATTCAATCTATAACAGGCATCAATGTAACCATCAACTTATTAAGACACAAGGGATTGTCATTACTGCAGAAAGTGCTCATGCCACCTCATGCCCTATACTATAAGGCCATAGTAATCAAAACAGCATGGCTGTTGCCTCAAAGGAGGCAATTGTAAACAAACCAGCATGTGTTGCCCCAACAATGAAGCAGAGTGACCCAGAAGAGAAGGGTCTGCAGGAGGAGACTGCTGCTTAAGGCAACAGTAAATAGTCAGCGTGTGCAGCCCTGGTAGCTGAGCAGCTCATGACACAGCCAGAGAGAGCTTATACTGAGGCTGCATGGGGCTGAAAATGTCAAAACACACATGTGTGGTGTAGGTCAGCAAGCCACAGCAGGGACCAGGTGCCCTACCGAGGCAGAGAGGCTTGTGCACAACTGGGAAACTTCTGCCCCTTTCCACAAGACGGCAGCTGGAAGAGGGGCAAAGACAACTGTGGAAAACATGGCCAACATTGGCCCACATTAGTTGAATAGATAGACACTCCCACAGCATGTGGGATTTGGAGAGGGAACTTCAAAACAGAACACATGCAGAAGCCTTGCTCTTCCTTGCCTTGTGCCCCTGTTTGGTGACCCACAGACGTGGGGTCCACTTGGGGCTTCAGCCTCACACAGACGGGAGTCAGGTGCAAAGGTGAAGGCCCATGCTAGGATGTGTGCCTTGCTGGGTGCCTGCCCTTGGGATACTGGGTGACATACCACATGGGTCCTGGAGTGCTTCCATTTTTTTGCTCTAAGAGTAGTGCAGGGAGGCTGGGAACAGCACATGGAGGCATGTGCTGGGAATGTTCCTTGGCCCCAGGGGCCCAGGCAGCCTTGGGTGTTAGGGCCCCACAAGTAGAGCTTCCCCTCCACAACTGTCTGGATTGATCTGGCAGCGCACCACAGACCCTGCGGGTGAGAAAAATCTGCTGTGGGACAGTGGTGACTCTGGAATCCACATATGCACACCCCCAAAAAGAAAAAGCCTAAATATGGAGACCCATTTGTATAGACACCATGAACTCCAAAAGGACAGATAAACAATAATGGGAAACTTTAGGATATGGATTGGAATTTCAGTCCTCTTGGGAACATGGAAATTTCTATGCTTGGTGGGAAAGATTGGCTTAAAACAGGAATGCTCTCAACCACCACCCCCCCAAACAGTGGATGCCCTGTTCATGAAAACTTCTTTCCTTTCCCACAAATCTTTATGTTATGCTTATACATGGTAGCAAATGGCCAGACCCCAGGCTGCCCAGTTACAAGAGAGAACAAGTATTTGGAAACCATTTGAAAAAACAATGACAGAAAACTTCTCTAACTTTGTGAAGGAAATAGATATACAAGTCCAGGAAGCTCAGAGAGTCTCAAACAGGATGAACACAAAGAGGCCCATACCAAGACACATCATAATTAAAATGGCAAAGGTTAAAGACAAAGAGAATTTTAAAAGCAGCAAGAGAAAATCAATTATCTGCAAGGGAGCTCCCATAAGACTGTCAGCTGATTTCTCAACAGAAACTTTGCAGGCTAGAAGGGATGGGCAAGAAATATTCAAAGTGATGAAAAACAAGGACCTACAACCAAGATTACCCAACAAAGCTATCAGTTAGAATTGAAGGACAGATAAAGAGTTTCCCAGACAACAAAAAGCTAAAGAAGTTGACCACCACCAAACCAGTGTTTTATAAAATGTTAAAGGATCTTCTTTAAGAAGATCAAAAATATGAACAATAATATGGCAATATCTATCAACAAGTGAATCTAAAAAATAAAATAACCAATCAAGCATAACAGAAACAGAATCATAGATACTGTTTCTGTATACATAAAACATAATACATCAAATCAGAGAATGTTTTGATGGTTGCCAGATGGAAGGGGGTTGGGTGGCTGGGCAAGAAGGTGAAGAAGAGATTAAGAAGTACAAATTGGTAGTTGCAGAATAGCCATGGGGATGTAAAGTACAGCATAGGAAATGGAGCAGCCAAAGAACTTATATGCATGACCCATGGACATGGACAATGGTGTGGGGATTGCCTGAGGGAGTGGGGGATGCTGGATGGAGGGGGCTAAGGGGGGATAATTAGGACAACTATAATAACATAATCAATAAAATATAATTTTAAAAAATGGATTGAGAAGAGCCAGGACCTACATGTGGGAGAGAGGGTAGTGCCTCCACTGAGCTGGGATACTGAAGATTTTGGGGCTCAGGGAATCGTGTTTTGAGGCCAGTGCATGTAGCCATGGGTTTGAGTGTGCATGGGGAGCACTGTGGGGAGTGCAGCATTTTTGCCCCTCAGTCCTGCATGCCTCTCCTCCTTGGAATCTTTGGCAACACTCCCTCTCTTTCTCACAAGTCTCTGGTGCTTCTCTGGCCAGGTCCCCACCTGTCTTCCCAGTGCTGTCCTGCACCCACCCCCTCCACTTCTTCCTGTGCTTTGAGAAATCGCAGCTCTGGAGTGGGGGCAACGTCATTAGGGAGCAGGGACATCTCACTCTGCAGTGCCAGGTCTAGACGGATTAAGGAAACACAGTTTAGGGACCACCCTAGTCTGAAACCCTCTACAGAGAAGGGAGAGTCCTCGTGAGACATGTAAACCAGGACAAGCAGAATATGGAAACAGACGGGTAGTTAAACTGCCAAGAAGTTTACAGCCATCTAGTAAATTGCAAAATCCTATCTTCCCTAACCAAGGACACTTAAGAATAAATGGCTTATACTTCTCCTCCCCAACCAGAGGGTAAATAGCTTAAATCACCCTGCTCAGGGAGGCAGATAACAAAAATCCAGTTAGTGCCATTTGTGCCAACCACACTCAAGGACTGATGAAGTCAGGGGCATAGGTATCATTCTGGTGCATCAGCATAAAGCTGATGAATATTCTGTTGAGATCTTCCCCTAAGACCTCCCCTAAACTCCCAGCTTTCTCTCCCTGTGGGGAGCAAGTGTGACCCCCTTCCCATGCCCCTACTCTTCCCTCAAGGCCTGTTACCTTTGCCTTTTCCTCTTCTAAGCTCCAAGGGCTATATATATATAATATATATATATATACACACACACATATACACATATACACATATACACACATACATTCATTGGCTGATTCTTGTATGTGCCCTGAGGGAGGTTGAACCTGCAACCCTGGCGCATGGGGACACACTCTAACTGAGCTGAACCAGGGCCCCAAGGGCCTTCTTTTGCTTCTATAACTCGTTTCCTGGGCCTATGCACACCAGTTGGCTCACTTCTACTACCTCTGTAGCTTTCTAAATAAACTTTTGTAATTTGAGTTCTTGGTTCTGAAATCTTTCTTCGCCCTCTCAAGAACAGAGGTCCAATTTCACCGCCAACACTCCTGGTACCACTCGGTGCTGTCAGGCCCTCTGGCCAGCTCGGTCAGTTTTATGTGTAAGCAGATATAGAGGGGCCACGTGACAGCACAGCCCCAGATTAAAGTCTCAGCGCATCCTTCAGTGAGTCCTGAGCGTAGGGCAAGGTGTTCTTTGTGGGGTGAGTGTGGCGGAAGAACTTCGCTGCGGGAGGGAAAGGAAGGGGCCTGGATGTAGAGGCCAGAGGTCTATCCTGACTGTCGCGTGGAACGTGCGCTCGGGATCCAAGGAGGCGGCTGCAGCCGAACTCTCCACAGCAGCTGCTCAGAGTGGCACCGGGAACCAGCCTTGGAACCGGCTGCGCAGGCTGGGAACCGCACCCCCCTCCCCCAGAGCCTCGGTACTCGCTACTCGGGGTGCTCGGTGGGGCTGAGCGAAGCAGGCAGGGGCCAGAAAAGAAATGCTTAGAAGGAAGCCGGGATAGTATCCTCCCCTGCAGCTCCACCGACTCGCACTGCCCACTAAGGCGTTAAGCGCTCTTAGGTGGCAAACAGCCAGGAGGTCGGCTTGGAGGCGGCTGTCTATGCCACCCAGGCTGTGCCGGGGAGCTGGGACTAGGGGCCTCGCGCCAGTGACTGCGAGCCCTTCTCTCCCAGTGCTGCAGCGTCAGGAGGTCCTCTGGAAACCAGGGGAACCTAGAGGAGAAGCAGCGTGAGGAGGGCGTGGGGCTAGAGCTCTCGGCTCAGGTCACAGAGGGCGCCCTTGCTGAAGCCGAGGGCGTGGACAGGTGCCGCCTCCACTAGTATGGAGCGGGAGGGCGGGAAGGCTGGTTGGGATCAAAGGGCCATGGGGATCTCTGGCACGGGAAGTCCGCGGCACTCGCCAGTAGCACTGATGTCGCCAGGGTTGTGTCTCCAAATTCCTAAACCCACTTAGTGCACACCATGTATTGCCCAGCCCGCCTCCCTACCCCAGGCAAGCCTCGGAAGAGCCTTCGCCTCTCTTCATTTCTTTATTAAACGTGGATGTATCTGAGCTTCTAGAGAAAAGGATACAGTTGCGATTCGTGAAAACGTTTGCTGCGCGCTGTCCTGCGGCCGGGGTGTCGCAGGTCTTGCGGGGAACAGCCGAGCTGCTGCTTTATGGAGCCAGCCCCCAGCGCAAGCTCCCTTCCTGCCGCAAGGTTTGCTCGCAGAGCCCCGGAGGCTCTGCCTCACTGGAGACCCATTGCTCGCTAAGCTGAACCTGTGCCTACGGGTGTTTGGTTTTTGTGCTTCGTTGTTGTAGTTTTTCACTCAGCACCACAGTTTTTCAAAATCACTGGGAATCTGAGTCACCGCTGTCAACGGAAGACTTTGGGTGGCACCCCGCCGTGGGGCGCGCTCCCAGGGAGCCCAGTTGTCGAGGGGATCCCGCTGAGGCCAGAGAGGCTTCGCGGGCGGTCAGCCTACAGGGACCCGGAGCAGTGCCACACGCATTCCTTAGCAACAGCGTGCTGCGCACCTGGCCATTCTCGGAGGAACCCCGGCTCCAGGGCCCACGCGCGCCACACCGGCCTCCGCTCCTGCTCCAGTGTCAGAGAAATGACTGGTGGCGGCTGAGGGCGGGCCAGCACCCTGCCGCCACTCCGCTACAACACGGGTCTGGGCTTGGGCCACCGAGCTCGTCCTTTCCTGGGCCCTGGGCTGCCGCTGCGCATAGAAGGCTCAGGCAGCCGGTGGTTTGGTGATTCCTGCGTTCAGCATGTGCAGGGAGGTGTGAGGAATGCCAAAGATAGAGATCAACCTCAGGGCATCCTTCACGGAGTCACACAAGTCCAGCAAATGCAAAAACAGACACGAAGGAACAGATCAGATGCTGGCTCACCCACAGTGGCGGGACGCCCACCCCCAAGAACCACCACAGCCAGTAGCCGGATTTCCTGAGACCTGGAGGGTCAACGCCTGTGATCTTGAATAACCCTCGCAAGCCTTTTTTCATCTTAGAAATTTCCAACTCGGTGGTGCCTAGTCTGGCAGAGGCTCACTTATTCCGTAAAGGAGTGGGGGTGGGCTCAAAACCGCTGCTGCGAGCTACAGAGCAGAGCCCGACCATTTAACTTCGCTTCCTCTTCTCCGTAGGCCTCTCCCTTCCTCCTGTCCCCTCGGTAGAGCCTGGGGTGCCACCCTCTGGCGAACTCAGGCAAGTGAACTGCGGGGACCTGCCGGGCTCTCCCCCAGCAGCGCCTCTCCAGCCCCTCACCCGCTCCACCGCCTCCACTCCCAGGGTGGAAGCAAGCCACCGCTCCCAAAACGCCTAACAGTGGTGCGACTGTTGAGGGGGCAGCGGAGGGAGTGGAATTGACAACTCTGTGCACCTTGCACCTGGCTGCTGCTGGAAATCCACCACCTGCAATCGACACCAAGGAACTCGGCCAATGCCTCCCAAGTGTTCTGACAACCTTTGGAAGGCAGAATAAGACATCCTGGCAGAAGGGAGGGGAAGATGCAGGCCAGTGATTTTGGAGGTGCTGCTTTGGGTGTATTTTATTTCATTTTTCATGGTTTTGATGCCAGTGCATTTTTCATTCTCAGAAAAAAAAGCTACCAAAAATAATAGATTGTTTTTCTAAAACTCAACAAGAGCCAACCAAAGGACTGCTCTTCTTTACAATGACCACCAGCTACACACTATACTACATTTTTCAAGTTTTCAGTCAGCTGTAAATTTCTTTTACTTACCAAATTACAGTTCACCCAAGGTTTTCATGGTTTACGTTTATGGTTTTAAATATATCATTTAACCATCCTCACCTTTGCCTTTATGGGAGTCGCCATCTCTGGGCTCCTCTAATGCTGTTAAGACCCGAGTTCCTTTGCAGCAGCCCAAAATTCACTTCTGGGCTCAGACACAGTAGGGAGGTAGCCTGCAAAATGGGGTGCAGTAGTGTGGGGGAAGATCATGAGTTTTAGCAGTATCACACCTTT